ATCACGTCCCCGATGGCGAATACGCGCGGATTCCCCGTCCTGAAGTCCTTGTCCACCACGATCCGCCCGTACTTCCCCACCTCCACCCCCACCTCCTCGCACCCGATCTTCTCGCTGTTCGCATCCCTCCCGCCGCTGTAGAGGACCAGGCCCACCTCCAACTGCCGCCGGCCCCCGTCGTCTTCCTCCACTGGGCCGCCCTCCCCGCCCCGGAGCCCCTCGAACTCAAAGCGCACCATCTTGTCCTCGCCCACCTCGAACCGACTGACCGGGTTATGAATGACCTCGATCCCGTTGCGGGCCATGTCCGCCTTGATGGCGGTCTGGAGCTCCGTGGGTAGGAAGGGGAGGAAGGCCTCCTCGCGGCAGAGAAGGGAGGTGGGAAGGCCCATGGCGGCGAAGACAGTGGCGTACTCGACGGAGATGACCCCCCCGCCGATGACGGCCAGGGAGTCCGGAAGCTCCTTCAGGTTGGCGATCTGGGTGGCGTCGATCACGAGCCTCGAGGTGTAGGGGATGGGGACGCCGGGACGGAGTTCCTGGTCGGGCAGGCGCGGGAGAGGAGGGGGGGAAGAGGGGGAAGTGAGGCGACGGGACCGTCCGGGAGGGCCATTGCCGGGGTTGAATCTCTTCTTGCTTGCCCGGGACCGTGTCTCGCCTTACCTTGGGCCGAGATGGCCGCGAGCCCGTGGCGATGACCAAGTAGCGCGACCGGAGCTCGACGCAGCCCGTGGGCCGACACACCCTGACTGTGACGTGGTCCTCGCTGAGGCCGTGGGAAGCGGAATGAGCGGGAGCTCGCGAGACAGACGTCGGGAACCCCTGTGTCCACGCCCGTCATAGAGTCATTGCCTTACCCCCCACCTGGCTCACTTACTTGTCCGGATCCCAGCTGTCCTTCACGAGGAGGGCGGAGCCGATGTACAAATGGCAATCATTCTTGACCAACCGGTCTCGCGTTTCGGCAGCCTGGTACACCTCCGCCTCCGACTTTAGGGCCGGGAAACGCTTCTTCCAGAGACGTCGAATTTGTTTCATGCGGTCACCCCCCACCTGATCGACGGTTTTCAGGATCCGCTTGGCCGCCTCTCGGACTGCTTTCGAGGTTAAGCCCGTGGGCCCGCCGAATGCCTTCTTGATTTCAATGATGGCGACTTTCTGACCGAGCTGCGCGGCTTTGCATCCCGCTGTTTCCCCCGCAGGACCCGAACCCAGTACGATCAAATCGTAGGGCGTGTCGTCTTCCTTCTCGGGGAAGGCCGTCTGGGACAGGTCTGGCAATCTGACTTGATCGGGCGTGGCTTGCAATCGCACCACGCGACGAATCGAAGACAGGATAGGCGATAGTGGAGGGTTTAGCGCTTGGGAGGCAGATTGGCTAGTAATCTTTTCCGGCCAAACAGGCAAGAAGGGATTTCCTGCAGGACGTTGAAAGGCTTTCACCAGGAGGTGGCAGTGAAGAGGGGCCAGTGCGGCGAGTAACGCGACCAGGAAAAAGCCACGGGGTGGCGATCTATGCCTTCTGGTCATGTCCTCTACACATGTATTTGTGGCAGGAACAATTAGCCAAAAAAGCGTGCTCACGGCGTGGTTGCCTGTCCCAAGCCCGGACTTGAGGATGTTGGCAAGCTCGATCCTGAGCTCGAGGGCGATGCGAGCGAGGACGCGACTGTCAGATGGCAGAGTGCTGCCGAGGAGGTACTTGCACTATTCTTGCACGCAACTGCCGGGCTTTGCTTCTCCTTCACGTCCTTTAAATTTCCACGCGTGACCGCGAGGTCCGCTGATCGTCAGTCTGGCTCCTCTACCCTCAAGTCACCACGTCCTCTGTCGTGGCCCCTTCTCATCCCGCAACACTTACCTCGCACACTCATCAGGTCAGAGGCCTCGTAGCCGAACTTGCCTCGAGATGCTCGCAACCATGTTTCTCCGCCGTGGAAGCAACACACTGGCGCTTGGTCGTCGCATGCCAATACTCAGGTGAGGAGGCTACCCGTGAGAGATCTTCTGGGGCCGACAGGAGGGTAGGCGGTGGCGTGACTTTGCAAGAGCAATATCGCGGGAATTAGGGGCTTTCCCGTCAGCACTTGTTTCCACGTGGGGAAATGAAGACCGTGCTTCCGTTCAGTTGTCCTCAACTCGAAGTGGAGAAAGTATCTCAGCAAGCTGTGCATGCGCCTCCCGTACCCCTCCCCCGGCCCTTCCAGGAGCATCACCTCGGAGACCAAGTCCTGGGCCACCTCCCTGAACGAACCCCTGAAGACGACAGACCCAGACTTGCATGCCATCATTGAGCAAGAGAAAGTACGACAGCGGGAGTCTCTGGTCCTCATCGCCTCGGAGAATTTCACGTCTAAGTAAGGAGCGACGGGGTCCTCGGCGGAGGAGGGAGGAGACGCCGAAGGGGGGTCGGGAGAGGACTGTCAGTGCGACGAGCGTCCAGCACAGGCTACATGCGCGCATGGGCTCAAGGCTCCCCTGCCTTTCTTCCCGTCCTTTTCCCTCGTTCCCCTCAGGTCCGTCTTCGACGCACTCGGCTCCGTCATGTCCAACAAGTACTCGGAGGGCTACCCTGGCGCCCGCTACTACGGCGGGAACGAGAACATCGACAAGGTTGAGTCCCTGTGCCAGCAGCGGGCCCTGGCCGCCTTCAATCTGGACCCGGCTCGGTGGGGCGTGAACGTGCAGACCCTCTCCGGGTCGCCCGCAAACTTCCAGGCCTACACGGCGGTCCTGGCGCCGCACGACCGGATCATGGCTCTGGACCTTCCCCACGGGGGCCACCTCTCGCACGGCTACCAGACGGACTCGAAGAAGATCTCCGCGGTCTCCATCTTCTTCGAGACCTTCCCCTACCGCCTCGACGAGCGCACGGGCCGGATCGACTACGACAAGATGGAGGAGAACGCCGCGCTCTTCCGGCCCAAGCTGCTGGTGGCGGGGGCCTCGGCCTACGCGCGGACCATCGACTACGAGAGGATGAGGAAGGTGGGGTTGGTGGCAGGGGGAGGGCACGTGCTGGGAGGGAGGGAAGGGGGGAGGGGAAGTGGCGG